GCAAAGAAACCTTTATATGCTTCTTTATGTAAAATGTTTTACTTTCCTTGGATTGTGGCACACCTTAAGCAAAGTTCATATTGCTTTGATTACATTATTAAATACATATCTTTCTATCTAGAATTGGGCATACATTTATGTTAATAATTGATTTTTAAAAATCATCACAGACTACAAATCAAAAGGGTGATAAATTATTGCTACATTTCACCCTCCTAATGATACCCCTAGTTAGCTCTCTGTGAGTCTTTACAAATAAGCAAAATGTTAAAAATCATTTAAATGTGTTAACAGATTTTTTTTTCCTGATAATCAGAAACGTAGACTAAACATGAAGTTAAGAATATGGGGCAGGATTTGATAATTAGGGAAGAATACGTAGACTTACTCTGTTTTGAAAACAACATTATGTCAGCTTTTTATTTGGCCTGTACTGACTGTTTTCCTAAAACAATAAAAGCATTAATTTCCAGCAAATATAAAAAACTGACAAATTCTTTATTGCTTCAGTTATAACCTACCAATAAAACTTTAGAATTGTTCCAGGATTGAAAAAAAAGAAACCTGTATTTCATGTATTTAGAAATAGTTAATTGTGCATTTGTTTGCTCCTTTTAAGTTCCTCCTAGATATCATAATGTATTCAAACTTGCCATTCCTCCCACATTCCATTTTAAGAATGTAGCTATCACATAGGATAAAGTTTCAAGATCAAAGAAGCCTGTATTCTTCCTCCCCCCACCTTTCCTTTCTTTAACATCCAGGTATCCCCAAAACTTGTGCAGTATTACTGTGCATGAAAGGTTGGTTTCTTGCAATTGGTTACTGTACTTGTGAATTGCTTATGGAAGGACATGGCTTTGGAACTGGCAGCGCAATCAACAGTCACTTCTTTGTCAGTCATCAGTAACTTTACTTAGCTTTCTATGGGAAATTACAATTTCTCTTCCACAAAGCTGATTCCTACTTGAGCAGCAATTGGCAGCAGCAGTCAATTATGTTCTGACTTAAATCATTTTCTAATAGCAGCAGATTAACTCAAGTTTCTGATTAAAGTCCAAAAGGGTTATGAAGATAAAGGTAAGCAAGAAAATCGTTTATCTGATTAGAGTACAAAGGTATGTTTTTAAGGCACTTAGTCTGGTATGAGCTATATTCAACCTCTAAATTTTCATAGTTATTTCTGGCTCTTTTCCCAAACTTGTTTTTGCAATTTTTTAAAACTCAATGTGTTTTAAGTGTGTGGCAGTCTTTACTTCATAATACTCTTGTTCTAAGCTTTATAAGGTAGGTTAATCAATTTATACAGCTGAAATACAAAAACCGCATATAAGTTGCAAAAGTACGGATAACCATTACATGCTAATTCTTTGCTGTCATCTAGTGGTAGTCCAGATTTTTGAGCAGTTTAGAAATTAAAGTGATTCAGGCAACCTGATTGTCAGGAATGTATCTTTATCAGTTGGAGGTGAATGCAGAGGAAGAAAGAAATTGACAGCATTGAAGGAGAAATAAAACTTTCATGATTGTCCTGGTATTTAAGAAGAATTGTAGGTTTTATTCCATTTAGGCTCCCATCTTTCAGGTTGTACCTACCTAATTATTAGGACCAAGGAACACTTCAAGGCTGAATACTTTGTACTTACCTAAATAGGTTTCCAGCCTTCAGCAAAAAAGAAAAGAGAAAGTGTGTATATGTAATTTTTAAGTGAAGAGCAGCCCAAAAGGAAATATTGTAAATTTGTCTAACATAAAATTTGATGTTTTAGGTCCTCTCTCTCTCTCTCTCTCTCTCTCTCTCTCTCTCTCTCTCTCTCTCTCTCTCTCTCTCTCTCTCTCTCTCTCTCTCTCTCTCTCTCTCTCTCTCTCTCTTTCTCTCTCTCTCTCTCTCTGGGTACTACAGTGATAAAAAAGAGCTTTTGGTTCACTAGCTCATCTGTTTTGCTTTCTGTTCATCATACTGCATTTAAAATTGTGTATTGTAAGCTATTTTGGAAAGCATTATGAGTTATTCTAATTGAAATGGGTTTTGTTTTTAGTTTTGTCTTGGCAAACAAATAGTAATGGGACTTAAATTTGAAACATGGCAAGAACAAACAATATAATCAAATAAATGTTTAGTTTGTATGATTACCAAGATATATATATTTCTATACATTTTATTGTATATGTAATAGAAAAAAGCATTCTTAGTAGCCGATATGCATAGAAGTATGCAGATACTTGTGAAAGTTCAAAGTTTGATTGCATTGGTAATCCAACTGCTAAATAGGAATTTGATTCTGAAATCTATATAGTACTAAAACACTAATCTTCATGGCCTTTAGCTGGACAAAATAGCCCATCATAAGGCAGCAATTTTCATACCAAGGTACTCAAATAGGTTACTTACAGAATGCACCTAAAATCTAAAACCCATGACTCCTGAAGGAATGAAATTTGGGGAAATCATGGCTGCTTCAGGGCTACAGGCTGGTGGTCATGTACTCATTTTTAGTATTTTGTGACTATTTCTCAGTCAGTCTCGCAATCCCTCCCTCCCTCACCCTGCAGTAGTCACTCACCTATCTGCAGGAAAGAGAAGGGAAGAAAGGAAGAGAGGAACAGGAGGAAGGAACCTCACATACCCTTGCTGGCCCATGTATCCCTTGAACAACTTCCCCAGCCAATGCCCTCTGCAGGTCTTTCCTGACCTACACAGCACCTCCTGCGTATGCTCATGCACCTTCCCAGACCAGTGTTGTCTCCCATGCACTTTCCCTGACCCATGCAGCACTATTATGCACTCACACACACCCTTCCCAACCTGTGCCCCTCTTGCATGCCTTCCTGATCCATGAGGCACACCTTCAGGCTCACACACCATCCTGACCCAGGCTGCCCTCCTTGAACACCATCCCCAACCAGCCTGGCACCTCTTGTGCACTCCCAAGCAATTCAGTGCATTTTCCCAGCTCCTACCATCTCTACCAGCACAGGACCTCACACATACCCCTGCCACCCCCTTGAATTGTTCTTGACCCATGCCACCCCCTGTATACCCTACCTGACCCATGCAGCACCTTTTACACACCCGTGTAACCTCCTCTGCACCCTTTTTTATCTGTGGCACCCCCTCACACCCCCTATTAAACCTACACAGCACTTTTTGTGCACCCCCAGGCAGGCTTTCTGCCCTACAACGTCCACCTTCATACCCTCCCTGGCCTGTATGATATCTCTGATGCATACCCACCCATCTTTCTCAACTCGTATGGTACCTCTTGCGTGCCCCCACATACCATTCCTGACCCACACCCCCATGCATCCCTTTGCTTCCTTTCTCACCCAGTAGTTGTTTACCTGCCTTGGACCTTAGACTTGCATCTTCCTGCTGGCCTCCCCACTGACTTTCTCCCTGCAGCCTTACTACGCACAAAGTAAATGGGGAACCCAGCAGAAAGTCAGAGTCACTCCCACTCCCTATTTGCCGACTTTGAGTAATTCTGTTTCTCTGTTTAGGTAAGGAAATAACTCTGAAACGTTGACCCAAGAGGGCAGGGATTGTCTAGTTCAGGGGTAGGCAACCTCAGCTCTTTTATGACTCATGGACTTCATCTCCCAGAATTCCTGAGTCAGCTATGCTGACTCAGGAATTCTGGAAGTTGAAGTCCATGAGTCATAAAGGAGCCGAGGTTGCCTACCCCTGATCTGGTTCGTATGAAATTAACCAAGGACTGACTCCTTCGTGGGTTACTTTTCTTTGTTACACAAATTTAACAAACAGTAAATTATTTACAAAGTGCTGCCTGAATAATAGTACAAATGTTTATGTGTCAAAAACCAGAGAGTCATACTTGTCCATATTTGAAGCAAAAAATGATACCAAATGGTTAATATGTATCAGTAGACAAACTCGTTCTCAAAGAAGAAGATACCTTGAGACTGAGAAGCAGAAGTACTGTATGCGATTACAGCAGTCCCAATATTAGCACTTTCAAAGGTTGTGGGTGGGGGAGAAGGGCTTTCTTCCAGGGTCCCCGATAAGCCAAAAAGTATCTTTTGGTCAGAGAAAACTTAAAGTACCTTTAAGCAGAAGCAGATAAAAATGATAGGATTTTTCTCTGATTGCTTGATAGTCCTGGATTAAACCTTAAATTCCTAAATAATAAGTGAAATATGTGTACCTTTTAAGAGAAGAATAAACACCCTGAATTGATAAATTTGGTACAAAACCAGATATCTCTGTACTAAATATAGGGTCCTGTACAGCGGTGGGATTCAAATATGTGAACAACTGGTTCTCTGTGTGAATGCCACTTCTGGAAGTCCATTCTTGGCCTGGGCAACAAAAAAATTAGCTACCGGTTCTGCCGAAGTGGTGCGAACCAGATGAATCCCACCACTGGTCCTGTAGTGTTGGAGTGGAATGTACAGATATTGGGTTGGGGGAAAGGGCAGTTCAAGCTAAAATTTAAGTATACCTGTATCCAATATAATTAAATATCCCTAACAGAGGGAGTATCCATGTGGTTGAATTTATGGGGAAAGTTTTAGGAGGAAGAAAGTTTTAAAAAAGCAACCTTCTTTCGTAGCAATAATATCACTTTCATATCCAAAACCTAAATATGTAGACAGAATCTAAATTTAGATATCTTAGACAAGGAACATGAAAAACAATAGCCTCATCCTTACCAGCCTGCCACTGAAATCCTCCACATACAACTGAAAAGTTTCTGTTTTAAACTGTTTGGAGCCCAAGTGGGAAAATTTCCTTGGAAAGCTGGGAATGCTTCAGTCCTGTTACAGTGTTACTCACTGTTACTCAATCCTCTGCCAATATTACTCAAATGATATTAATCTTCTTGAGATACCAACATCCATGCAGTTATATATATTATATATATATATATACAGCTGTAAAGGCAAGTACTTTATTTCTTCAGTTTATCATATTGATGCAGCTATGTACAAAGTTTTTTGAGAGCGCTCTGGATAACAACGCTTGAAAAATGATGTTACAACATTTCACTACAAGTTCCTGCTTGCTCATTTTAGTTTGGCTATAAAATAATAGCAATAGAATTACATCAATGAGCTTTGTTTCCCACAGACAACATTATATACAAGCTTAATTGACCTAAGAGGCAAAAAACAACCTACTTTTCTGGACAAATGCAACCGCCAATATATGAATTCTGATGTCAAAAAATGGCAATCACTTTAGCATTCAAATAAATGCTCAGGATGTTTTCTCTATAAACATAGCTGATAATAAAACTATGTTTTATTATTTTAGGTGGTTTCCTGTAATGTAATTGGAAATTCCTTCCATTTTCTTGTCAGTGTATCCCAAGCTCCACCTCTTACTGGAGAATGTCAGTCTTACAGTATAAAACTATTTCCACTTCATTTGCAGGTAATGTTTTGAATTTAAATTAACAAAACTTGCAGTAAGATATCTTACATATGTATTAATTCATTTAGTCCTCTTGCACATTCTTGTAAGTCAAGGTACATAACTTCTTCTGGTAGGGGACATATCTACTCTTTATGTGATTTGTTGGGGGGACACTCCTTAAAAATAGTATGGTCTGGATGAAAACTAAATTTGATCTAATATTCTTTATATTGAATTAATATAGTTGATATTTTTTACAAATTAATGATCTATTAGTAATTTTCACCTTATTTTTTATTAAAAATTACTATTTTAAACAAATTTTGAAGGTTTTGTTCAATATTGTTGTCAGCCATAGACTCAGCTATTTCTTCTTTCCATATATTGTTCTCTTAATTTACTGCATTATGGTTCAGTTTGGCTACTGTATTGAAAACCTACATGGAATCTCCTTATAATTCTGCTCTGTAGTTAAGGAAACTACATTTAATTGTAGTTTCCTGTTTGACCCAAACAAGGAAATATATTTAATGACTTTTAAACAAATCAATAGAAGCCAAATTTAAACTACAACTTCATATTATGATTTATTTAGAGACAAGTTTACCAATTTGGATATAATGGGAGTATATGTTTAACTAGCTTCTGGTTTGTTTTGTATCAAGAGAAGAGTGAAGCAGTTGTAATATATGTGGGCATTGGTGCTTCGAACCAGAAAACTCTATTTAAATTTAGAATTTCTAGTCAATACTATAGATAGAAACAAAAACTTAAAATCTGCATATTTGATTGAGTACTTCATTTATAGTTAGTGTAGGACAAACTGATCAGTGAATGCTTAGCATTTACATTTTAAATTTGTTAAATTCTAATGCATACCCATCAGAAATTATGTCAAAATGCTAAGCATTTACTAATCAGTTTGTCCTACACCAATTATGGAGTTTGTAGCTTTCCCAGTCTGGGGCTGGGAAAGAGATGCTAGGATCAAACTCCCAGAATTTTGAGTCACCAACCAAAGATTGTCCAGCTAGTATGGTCAATTATGAAAACTGAGGACTAATTGATCCCAAAGGTGGTTATAGTTCACTGAACTGTGCATGTACTAGATTGCATTTTGATTACAGAGAGTGAACATCTATAACTAGGATAATCAATCTGCTGTTCTTCAAGAATTTTAAACTACAACTTGCATAATTGTTTACTATTGTCAAGCTGCCTGGAATTGCTGGGAATTGAGGCCCAAAGTATTTGCAGGGTGTGTGTGTGTATATGTTTACATCAGATTTCTATCTGAATTTATATACCCAACATAATTTAAAAATTTCAAACAAGAAAGATCCTGTACCACATGCTGAACTGCAATTTATATAAAACTGCAACTGGTATTAACACCTGCTTAAATTTGCAAAATAGAAATAACAATCCTTAATAAACTATCATTATCAACAGCTAAAACTTTCAGCAAAATCCAAAGAGGAAGACATCCAGATCAAGTGGTCATTCATCTACTCCTCTGAAACAAATATTGAAGTCAAACCTACTAATGTGAAAAAAGTAAGCATGTTGCCATTTTCTTATATGTAACTACAGCAGATTTAAATAAATAATTCTAAACATTTCCTTATCCCTTCTCTAAATCACTAGCCCCTTGATTCTACAATCCAAAGGACTGGCTTCTAAGTAAATATAATTAGGAGCAAGGTTTCTGGCATACTATGTGTGTAATGTGACAGCCTTTTGAAAGGATGACAATTACAGGTTGCTGTTAAGTTTTGCAATAGTAATTATATGCTGCTACTTCTAAAAACAATTGCAATAATAGTCTATAAAGCCTCTTAGTATTTGCCACTAGGATAGACAACAACAGCAAACTTCGGTATACATAACTACTTTACTACTATTTCCTTGGAAATTACTATTTTCACCGTATATACAGCTGCCTGTAAAACACAGGATTTTTAAAGCTATATGGATGGTAACAAGAAAGGCTGTTTTTTGTCTCCACTTGTTTATTGGACAGAATTCAAAATATTGCTGGAGGTCTCTGTTGCTGGAGGGAGGCTTTAACAGATTCTCCTTTAAAAAAAAAAAAAGGCATTCTTAAGGTTCAAATGCTTTGTGCTTCCTAAGCACTAACTATGATTCATGAATTGAAGATAACTACTGTATACCCTGTTGAATGTTCAGGAATTAAAAAAAGACAGGGCCATGAAAGACCTATGAAATTGGCTATTTATTCATAAATTGTATTTATGAATAAAAATCAGTAGTTCTACATAGTGGGCATCCCACTCCCCCATTCAATGAAATTACAACTCCCTGAATTCACAGCAGGAGGGGGCACCAGCTTGTGAAAAGCTGATATAGATGGATATAGATGGCACAATGCCACAGAGTGAATGGAATAGCATTTATATGGACACTGATAATGCTGAAATGTGCTCTATTGACTTTATTGAGACAATATTCTGTAATTAAATTTCCCGATTAAATATTTATAATTCATGCCTAAACTTTGCATTAAAAATTCACCTTTGTTAAAAAACAAAGCAAGAAAATTTTACATAGTGTAAATTAAATATCAGCAGGTAATTTCAATCTTGGTGAGCTATGTGAATTGGCACTTTTAAAAAAGTTATAAGGAGCCCTCTAAAACTAGTCAGACAATGTGTGTTCATTGAATTTTGGTTAATGTACATTACTTACCTTCAGAGCTGACTTTTGAAAAATTAATGGATTAATTGAATGCAACTGTCAATATTTACTCAAAGCACTCTTTAAAATTAGTGTCATGAAGCCAGTCAACTCATTAGCCTCTTTCCCCTAATGATCCCCATCAAAACAACTGATTCCTCTCTTTTCCCTGCAGCCACTTTTCACTTCCTCCAAAAGTGAGGCATGTCTTTTTTGTCTGTCTGTCTAATTACGTAACATAGTTTTAACCAATTGTTGGCCAGGTTTGGGCTGAAGATACTCCTGAGCTTTTCAGACATTCCTGCAATGTATGGAATGACAACATTGCTTCGTTTATTGTTCTGGATGAAAAATATAATGGAAAGGAAAAGTACAGTTGGGTGTAATCTATTAGTGACCATTCAACATCTCAATAACCTTCCCAATATTCAGATATAAACTAAATACTCTGAGGAACCAAATTTGATGGCTCTTGTAGAAGACCCATGAAGCAATACCAGAGGCAATCGCCTGGATAGCTAGATTAGACATCCACTTACTGTATGAGGCCACTGCCGTAAAAGTTTTGTGTATAATTACATGGATTATGTGCATATATTTACTTCTCTTTGTCATGTTTTCCTCATATGCTAAATAAGTGTTTAATCATTTGCAATTTGATGTTTTGCTGTCTGGCTTTCATAACTATTATGTTTGATGCATTGTCACTGAGGTGCGTTAGCATTTTCCATTTTGCCTGCTTATATGTTCCATATCATGGTCTTCATTTCTCTGTGATGCACAAATTAGATACAGAGTACATGAAGTGATCTCACATCTGTATACATTTGTCTGCCTCTACATGTACTATTTATTTTAATCTGAGCTCATTCTTCTTCTAGAATTGGAGGGTAATATAATTTTGCAATGTAGAATTTGTAGAGTAGATGATGCTGTAGTTTGAATCAATGAGCCAAGCAGCATGCTGAATACAATCTTGAAGGTTTTCTCCTATATGCTCTTCAAAGTTTTAAAAGCAATGCCACCGTTTTTCTCTTTATAGGATCAGACTCTTGGGACATGCACTGCATTAGAAACATTTAAAAGTGTGTTGCAGAATCTCATCAGTTGTACATCACCTGTTATGATTCTGAGTACAAGATCTACTGATATAAAAGGAACACAGGTATAGTTTTATTTAAATTAATGGATTTGCTCATTGCTGCTTTGGCTCCTTTTTCATCCTTCCTGTTGAAAGATTTTCATAATTTAATGCCTCAGCTGAGTCTACATAAATGATTCATGTGCCTATGCAATGCTTGTTGATGTTGAGATTTAATGTATGAGAACAGCATTATTTATTGCACATTTATCTCTAATGAAGCTATTTATTTTTTTTGCTTCCTATTGACAGAATGTACAGAATACAGGGGCCATTCCTCAGGGTGCTAGTCCTCCTAAGCCCCCAAGGGCTCATGAACTAAAACTGCTCATGAAAAACGTCAAAGTAATACTCACCAATCATAATATTGCAGGTATAATCATTTATACTTCGTTCTCCCTGTACCCTCCTGAATTGTATAATATATATTCTGGTTTAATTGCAATCAGTAGATTAAAGTAGATGCTATAAACAAGGAAAAGGAGGCATTTTAATCAGGAATGCATAGCATTATTGACTGGTTTTAATTTCTGTTCTCTATCTTGTTTCAAGTATCAAGAAGTTTTATAAAGATTTTTTTTTATTCTATGTCAGCACCTGATGTGTATCCTTTTTTTTGTTTTGTTATGATACTGTACTAGAACCATTGGCCTTTGTGGGAGACATTTCATAACATCTTTGCAGAATTCAAATTCATACCCAGAGGTCTGTTGTTTCAGGAATTTGAGCTTGCCCCTTTACAATATTGTGTGGCCCAGTTTCCATTGAGAAGTGGTGGATAATGCACATAGAGATCTCTATATTTAGCATGGCTACTTTAGTAGCTGTATTGTAAATTAGAACACGCAAAATGTTTGGAATGCAAAGTACCCTATTTCAAGTACAAAATGCCTCGGGCTCAAATATGAAACCACTGTTTTGAGTCTAAAATGGACCATTTCAAACATTTCATTCAAAACAGAATAATTTGTATTTGAATCAGTTGGTTGTGAATTTCTTATTATAAAGAATTTAATATCATTGCAAATCAAGTGCAAAGATTTTTTTTAAGCAGTTCTTAATGTTTATAGAAGGGGGAATAGGAAAGAGTTCAAGGCCATCTACATATTCTTATATGAGATAAACTTTTCCTATTCTTTCTTTTAGAATTGGCATGTGCTAACAAGTATAATGTACAAATCTGCAATAATATCTTTGCTATACTCTTCTAATCTTTATATATTGAAGCTTCTTAATTTATATGAACACTTGTGGATCTCTCTCTCAGCGATGGCCTTTTGTGATTGGAATAGGATTATAGGCATAAAGAATGTACAGAGTGTAAATTGGTGAGACAGTTCTGCTAGCCAAATACTATCTTGAACATACCTCACAAGATTTGGAGAGTCAAACATTCAGACAGCTCATAACATCATTATCATCAGCCTTTCAGTCATGTCTGACCCTCGGCCACTGTATGAATCAGCACTCCCCATGCCCCCCTGTCTCGCATTACCTCCTTCAGATCCATCATAGTCATCCCAATGTCATCTTTTATAGTGTCCAGCCACCAGGTACTAGGGCAGCCCCTTCTCCTTTTTCTGCTGATGATTCCCAGCATGACTGGCTTTTCGAGTGACTTAGCTCTCATGACATGACCAAAATACGACAGCCTGTTTGGCAATCTTGACTTCAAATGATATTTTTGGTGAGGTTCAGTGTAGGACGTCTTTGTTACCTTTGCAATCCGTGGGATGCCTAATTGTTGCCTCCAGCACCACAGTCCAAAGGTGCCCATCTTTCTCCAATCTGCCTTTTTTAGAGTTCAGGTTTCACAGACATAAGCAGCAATTGGAAAAATTATTGAATTACCTGCATTTGGTTCTGAGGTTTTACTCTTCCAAATGTTATTCATGCCAAACATTGCAATTCTTCCAAGTGCTATATGCCATAATATCAAGTGGTCAAACATCAAGTACTAAGTCATGCAATATGTGTTTAAAGGGGTGAGTACATAACTTGTCCATCAGGTTTTGTAAGCCTTTACGAGCCTGTGCTTGCATACTTCCTTCAGGGAATTCAGGGGAGGTGAGCATTAAGGAAGACAAGTGGTCTACCCACATTGCTTCTGCATTCTTTACTGTGTTTTCCTCCTGCTTTCTAAACTTTGACCCTGTTTTGATTGAATTAATCTTTGAACTAGATTTTGGTTGGTTTAAAATGTGGTTTGGCTACTTTTTTCTTAATGAAGGTGTACATGACTGGCTAATAATGACTTTGACTTCTTAAACAATTTTAATAATAACAATAACAATAATAATAGTAATAGTAATAGTAATAATAATAATAATGATAATGATGATGATGATGATGATGTTGGAAGGGACCTTGGAGGTCATCTAGTCCAACCCCCTGCTCAGGCAGGAAACCCTATACCATTTCAGACAAATGGCTGTCCAGTCTCTTCTTAAAAACTTCCAGTGTTGGAGCATTCATAGCTTCTGGAGGCAGGTTGTTCCACTGGTTAATTGTTCTAACTGTCAGGAAGTTTCTCCTTAGTTCTAGGTTGCTTCTCTCCTTGATTAGTTTCCATCCGTTGCTTCTTGTCCTGCCTTATTGAGTTGTATTTTTCTCGGTCCATTTTTTTTGTCATAAAAGAATAAATCACTCTTTTGCACATAAGAGATATCTCAAGCTTTTGATATCTCCACCAGCTTACTTCTATTTGGTCATCACACAGATAGTAAACATTGCAGTATTTATGTGTTGGTACATGTTTACATTCATTATTTAAAATCTTCCAAGCACAGCAGGAGTTCTTATATGGATAAGAACTTACATTCCATTAACTCACTAATTTGAAATTCATAAAACCAATTTTTTTATGTAGCTGCACATCAAGTAAGAAAGTCTTGTTTTATTTAAGTTTATTTTTTTTTCTATTTCCCTTATTACAGGTATCATTAACCCCATCTGTGTAGTTCAACTCAATGACCCTTTGCAGAAATTTTGTACCTCTTTTGCCAATTATCCCATGGACTTTTCTTGGAAAGAGGAATTTATTTTGTAAGTACTCCTTGTAATACTTTTACAAGTGTGGTAGAAAAAAATCCCTATTTTTTTTAATCCTCCTAATAGGAAAAATCGTATTAGTTTACTGAGGCTGAAAGCCTATATACGGTAGTACATAGCATAGCATGAAGAATAAGGGGTATGATTGCATCCTTATTTTTGATTCTTCTGGAATGTCAATTATACACCCACATCACACACTGGCAAATATTGTACCATGGGGACAGGGTAGGATTTTACGTTTCTTTTGTTGTATGCTGTTTGAATCTTTGACCATTTCTTGGTCTAATTTGCTGCTGCTGTCTGGAATCTATATTGGATTTTGGGATGGGATAGAATAATAGCTGTAAGTGTGCACGGGATGGGGGTGGGTGGCACAGTTCTGTGCTGGTTTGGCTCCTTTCTTCATGGCAGGTCCCAATTTACTATTGATAGGGAGTGAGAGGTTCAGCCCTCAGGTGCTATTTTGTGGTGTACCACTCCTTTTCAACATCTACATGAAACCACTGGGTGAGATCATCCGTCACCAAGGGTTGAAATATATATTGACATCCAATTCTATATTTCCACTTTTGGTGACCCAAGTGATGCTGTGGCCACCCTCTCGCAGCACCGGGAGGCTGTGGGGGCCTGGATGGGGGACAAAAGGCTTCAACTGAAGACTGAATGGCTTTGGGTATGTGGGGCTCCGTGATCCAGGACTTTGTCATCTTTGAGTCTGAATGGGGTGGCACTGCCCCAGAAAGACCCGATCTGCAACTTGGGGATTCTCCTGGACTCGTGATTCCTGTTCGAGGAACAGGTGGCAGTCACAGCTAGGACAGCCTTTGCACAACTTCATGTTGTGCACCAGTTGCGGCCTTTCCTGGATCAGGATTCCCTGCACTCAGTCGTTCAGTTTCTAGTCATCGGCTGGACTATTGTAATGTGCTCTACATGGGGCTACCCTGGAAGAGCATTCAGAAGCTACAGTTGGTACAGAGTGCTGCAACCTGGGTACTTTTCAGGGGCCCAAAATGGCCCCTGTAACACTACTGCTCCGCGAGCTGCATTGGTTGCCAGTCTGTTTCCAGGTGCAATTCAAGGTGTTGGTGATCACCTTTAAAGCCCTTCATGGCATGGCCCCAGGTTACTTGAGGGACTGTCTCACCCCACTGGGAGTGGCCCGTACCACTTGTGCTGGCAGAGGAGGCCTGCTGCAGGTCCTATCAGCCCAATTATTCTGGCTGGTGGGGTCCAGGATGAGGGTCTTCTCTGCTGTTGCTCCTGCCCTCTGAAAGATCTTGCCCCCTGCTGTGAGGTTGACCCCAACCCCAATCTTTTCATAAGGGCCTAAAGACGTGGCTGTGCAGTCGCTTGGGGCCCAAGTGGGGGAAGAGCGCAATGGAGGTGGTTGATTAATAACAGATCACACCTTCCCCCATGTTTCCTTGGTTTTAATGTCCTTCTATGTTTTTAACTGTATATGTAACTGTAAGCCTCCCAGAGGTACCCTATGGTAAGATGGGCAGCCTATACATTTTATAAATAAATAAATAATAAATCATGGCTGAATTTTAGAAGGACAGAATATGCTCTTTGTTTCTATATGCTCCTGTTTGACTGAAGTCTTTTTCAATAGTTCACATCAGTGCAATCCTATGCAAACCTACTCAGAAGTAAGTTCTACTGAGTTCAGTGATTCCTATTCCTGGAGGAGTGGGAATATGATTGCAGATTCCAACCACAGAAATAGAAACAGCTGAATACAAAGCTACACTTTCTTTATAGTTAACTTAATTTAAATACTACAAATTAAACATTGGTAAACTTACTGAATTAGTGAAATGATGCTAGCATTGCATTCCAGTACTTCAGTAGGTTTATTGATGATTAATTGTTAAT